TGTGATGTGATGTGATGTGATGTGATGTGATGTGATGTGATGTGATGTGATGTGATGTGATGTGATGTGTGAGGTGATTTAACATAGGAGGATTATGGATGGTATGATTGATAATCATGGATAGACAGACCTAGGGACATGGATAGAAAAAACACCTGTACCTTCACCTGTCTACCACCTACATACCCATGTACCCAGTCACCTGTCCATTCATTCATCTTCCTGTATGTCTTTCTATGTAACTGCAGCATCCTATCCCTGTGTGAATATGCTAGCTTTGAACATATGATCCTTCAAGTTTTGTTTGAGCAATAATACATCTAAACAGCTACAAAATCCACTTGTAATAAAGGCATTTGAGGCTACAGGTTTTGAAATTGGCCCACAAAAGTTTAAACTGTTACAAACCATTTGAATGAAAAATAAAATGAGACACCAGTTTTGGTCCAGAGGCTGAAACCACCACTATACACCAAAGGACGTAAATTCTAATCTAGTAAAATCTTAAAGCAAAGTTCTAAGCTAAGAATCTATGCAGTTCCAAAAACAGAAGAGCGGCTGAGGAGGCAGACTATTTTAACGGATTGTTTGACTGACTGGCTGATCACAGTCATAGGTATTACAGTCAGGATCTTACCCATGCCAAGCAAGAGCTCTGCACCTGAACTAGCCCCAGGCCTTCTAACTCATTTATTTCAGATTTCAATTAAGAATTTTCTCTTGGGAAAGATAAAACATCAGGTAGAGTGGAATAACAATATCACTAGAGTCCAGCCAGTGAGAGATGGAAATTTATTTACCGGCTGTTTTTCCTGTCTGCTCTACCATTCAGTCTAAGATGTGAGCTGGGTTGGTTTAATGTGAGTTAATCCTCTGGCTTCTTAAGATGCGAACTAGCAACTGCTTTCCCCTTTCCCCCAGCGCAGCTAACACTGTGGACATAGGCTTTCCAGACTGTTTTCAACATAGCAGAACATTACAAGTGTATCAATAAACCAAGGTTCAGCAGAGCAAGTAACTAACACTCAAAGTTAGGGGTGGAGACTGATCCTCACACAGGATGGATTCCCATCAATAACAGGGAAAGGAAGGCAAAGGGGCTGGAACCACCCTAGTCCTATGTCAGCATGTCAACAGTTGGAGAGAAATGGTGGTCTGGGACAATATTACCATACTACAAAAATGTTAACTTACTCTTTGGCATTTTACAAATAAAGCCCTTGTAGGAAGTACAGTGGAGATTATTCCAAAAGCCAGAAGATGGAGATAAAACTACGCAATCATTCCGTTCCCCAGAGGGGTCGCCTGTGTTCCAGTTGACAAAGGAAACAGGATTGTTGTTCAACCAAAGCCACTTTCCTGGTCATCAAATAACACCAATACAAACACATGTTAAAAACAATCCACTTCACATTCCTCTCCTTAGCACAAAATAGTTAAGCCTATCATTTTACAGTAGAACCAATGGTTTCTGCAACTAAATTTCCACCAGCAAGACTCTAATGAATATTGTTACAGAGAAGAAAAACAAGAACATATTTGCTAGATTGCTAGATTGCTAGATTGCTAGATTGCTTAACTTGAAATTTTATTTCTATTTAATGAAAAAAAATTTATACTTATCTTTTTCTAGCATTGTATCATGGCAAGAAGAAAAAGAAACTGTTTTCTAAATAGTCTTAAACAGCTAAAAGAGAGTTTTTTTTTAAATTGAAAACTTCCAGGGCTGGACAATATATGAATCATTTAAACTTTTGGTTATTCCAAACTCACCACAGATTAATCATTATTTAAGGTAAAGTTTGCTGGAACCAAAACACTGTACTATATACAACATTTTCAAAATATTAGCTATTAAATAATGGCTTTGTGAAAATTACCTTCGACATTTCGATACATGCCTATCCAAAAGCTGGTTTTGCTTTTAAGAGGTTCAACACGGTATGAGAGAAAACTGGATTCAGCAAAAGTTTCAATTGAAGCCAGAGAGGCACCTGCAAAGTATAAGATTGATGATGATGATGATGATGATGATGATGATGATGATGATGATGATGATGATAGCAGCTGAAAACATTCCTATGAACAGTCCTGATTTTAAGAGCAACAAATGCCAGTCTGAGCTCTACTCAAGACACAGTATACTGTCAGCGTTAACCTGCTGTCACGCATTGAATTATTCAAAGACTGAAAGGAAACCAGTCAGACAACGTACAGTTAGTTGACAACTCACCATCAATCACCAGCGTTAGCTTTTACAGTAAAATCCTACAGCTTGGTAATAATTAATATGTTTTAAACAGTCATGGCAGATTGTTTGTGGCCCTGCAAGCATTCTTCTAACTCTTTATAAGACTGTATAATAGACACTTTTGTTAACCCATTTTACAGATAAGAACAATAGAGAACACCCATCAGTATTTATTGCCTGGGGTCCCAGCAATGAGCACAAAGTCCTTCGTGACCCAGGCATTCTGAACCTGGAGAGGCAATATTTAACTATGTGGGTATCCATCCTATATACTGAGTTCTGAGTTATCCTGTTGGTGACTATTAATTGCATGTTTATGTAATACATCACTGAATATATTTCATAGCTATTAGACATTTCAAAAATACTTCTGCCATGTTTTGATGAATGAGAATCACTCCTTTTATCTGCTAGATAATAAAACACCTAAAACTGAAAATAAAGGTTGTGCATATTCACGGTAAAGTTTAAAAAACAAAACACTTAAGCAACATGAAAGAATTTTTTTTTTTAATTTTGAAATGTCAAAGGCAGATTTCTGATGCTCTTATCAGAAACCGCAAAGTAACTGCCTCAGAAGATTCTTTCCTCTGCAAAACAATGGGAACACTTTCTTAGCCACAGGCTTGCAAGATGCAAACGGGTGTGGGGGTGTGAAAATGGGAGGCTCTGTAAACTCTGTGCTGTCCTAATCCCACAGCCCCTCTCTAGCCCTGTGGGACCTTCAACAGCCCCAATCCTCACAATCACAATGAAAACCAGCAGCCCAGTAGCCACAGGGGGTTGTTAGAATAAATTAGAACTATTTTCAAATTACAAAATTCATTGTAATCCTCCAGGTAACCACTACCAAAATAACTAAAGGGTTCCTTAGCCTAAAGTGGGGCTGGGATCCAATAAACTCACTGTATAGTTCAGAAACGATAAACTGAATGGACTATTGTAAACTGGGGACCAGGTGTATAACAAAAGACATGGAGAGTTAAACAGTACAACAGAAGCCCAAAAAGAAGTACAGAAGGCAATACTGGGGGAACTGGGAAACTAAAGACATAAGATATAGAGAGAGAGAAATGGAAAACTAACAGACATAAAAGCTTCTCTCAGCATTTACACTAAGTGTAAATGGATTAAACATAAACATAAAAACAGATTCACAGACGTTAAATAACCAAAAAATATCCAACCACATGTTATATAAGAAAGACATATTTGAACTCCAAAAACATGAATAAATTGGAAGTAAAACTACGGTGGAAGATATTCTATGCAAACAACTACTTTAAAAAGGCCACAGTATCTGTACTAATATCAGACCAAAAAAAGGGGGGGGGGAGTTAAGCAAAAATTGTCATTAAATACAAGAAAGATATCTTATAATGGTAAAGTTTCAATTCACAAGGAAAATATAATGATCATACATGTGCACACCTGATCACAGAGCCACAAAACATACAAATGGAAACTAGATAAAGCAGATTTTGTCTTATTCAGGATTTAAAGTACAAAGCCAAGAGCAGGCATCAAATAGGCATGAAGGAAATGAGGGTGCAATCCTCCACCCCACTGCTGGATAGAGAAGTGTTAAATGAGGGCATAACACAATACAGGAAAATGGCTGTAGTAAAACAGTCAGTGATACTTAATTAAATGGCTTTTCAACGCTTTCTGAGAAACTGTCTTGTGCCAGGTGTGGTGGCTCTTAGAAGCTGAGTCGACAGTTGGATTGTGGGTGCAAGTCCAGCATGGGCTGCAGAGTAAGACTCTATCACAATGAAATCACTCTTTTTAACTTGGATGCGGTGTTGTACCCCGTTATCCCAGCACTTGGGAGGTGAAAGCAGGAGGGTCAGGAGTTCAAAGTTAGCCCAGGCTGCATTTCACGTTCAAAGCGAGTGGAACACGTGAGACCCTGTCACAACAAAGTTATCTCTGCCAGTTTTGAAACTGAATTTGGTTTTGTTTTGCTTTACAAATAAAACAGCCGGCATAAGAGCACTTCTATTAATAACAAAGAAGGGAACTCCCGGCCAGGTGCAAAACCTAAAGTTACCAGTGATAGGTAACTATAACACTTAGAGTAACTGCGGATCCTAAGGACTTAGGGCACTGGGACAGAACAAAAGATTTTATATTTTGGAAATATGAGCTTTTTAACGTAAATTCTTCAAAATTTTGAGGTTACAAAGTTACAAATTACATTTGTGGAAAATGATGCTAATCATTCTCTTAATAAAGAATTATTTTTTTTTTTTTAATTCACATGTGGCTGGGAACGTAGCAGAGTGGAGAACACTTACCCTATGTTTGGTCTCTAGCACCAGAAAAATAACAAAAAAGTACCTACATCCCTTGTATTTTAGTTTATAGTATTATTAGTAGCACTGGACTCAAAACCGATCATCATAGAATTTTCTTCCCGGGACCGGGGCACTCACCCATTCGCAAACACTCCAGGGACGCTTGGCCCCAGTTCCTTGTAAATGAAGATTCGATGTAGTAGCAATGGCCATGGAAGGGAATCCATGCCGTGTGCTCTGACTCAGGACACTTGCCAGGCAGCTGTGGGGGTTCAGTAGCTGGTATTTCTATATATAAACAGGTATTTAAATCATAATCAAAATAAGTCATAAATCAAAGCTGCGATTCCTGTCGTGTGTGGAACAATATTTTCATAGCTATGGAAAATTATACCCTTTACCATTATGTATAACTTATTAATGTTTGCAATTTAGAGCCACCATTTTTCTTGAGTTTTCATTTATTTTATTGTTTTAAGTATATTTCAATAGAAAACAGTGCCCATGAATCATATTCCTCATAATTTATTAATTAGCAGTATTTAGATTTTTACAATGATATTTCAGATTTAAGTTGGGAGTAGCAGCACATGCCCTTAATCCCAGCACTCTGAAGGCAGAGGCAGGTGGAGCTCTGTGATCCAGCTTGGCCTACATAGCAAGACCTTGTCTAGATAGATAGATAGATAGATAGATAGATAGATAGATAGATAGATAG